TAAATAAATAAATAAATACAAAACAGAAACAGACTCACAGACATAGAATACAAACTTGTGGTTGCCAAGGGGGTGGGGGTGTGGGGTGTGGGAAGGGACAGACTGGGATTTCAAAATGTAGAATAGATAAACAAGATTATACTGTATAGCACAGGGAAATATATAAAAGATCTTATGGTATGTGACAGAGAAAAAAATGTGACAATGAATATATGTTCATGTATAACTAAAAAATTTTGCTCTACACTGGAATTTGACACAACATTCTAAAATGATTATAACTGAATAAAAAAAGTTAAAAAAAACAATTTCAAAAAAAGAAAAGTTATAAAAAAAGAAATAGAATATGATTTATAATCTTAAAAAAAAATCAGGAACAAATGTTGGACTTTTCATGTAATTTTCTACATATTGTTCAGAGATGACCAAAAGGTACTTTTTCTGCTTGTTAATATTGTGAATCACATTGTTATTCTTAGAAGAAGGAATAAACTATATACATATATGCAATAACTCAAACAAATCTCAAAGACGTTATGTTGAGTGAAAGAAGCCAATCTCCAAAGGCTACATACTGCATAATTCCATTTATATGATGTTCTGAATGCTTTAACTACTTCTCGTAGGACATTCCTCTCTGACAACACCAACATTACAGCATATGGCCAAAGGATTTGCTCCCAGTTTTGGGTTTTGGGGTGGAGAGATTGGGATTTTCTTGGGGGCGGGGGGTTATTTTTTCTTTGACTTTTTGTTGTTTTGTTTGTTTGTTTTTATTTTTTGCTTTATATTTTCCCCATCTCTGTATACATTGAATGACTAGTTCTGTAACATTTACAAAATAATCCCACTGCAGGAGCTCCAAGGAGAGTGTGAAACTGCCTCTCCTCTGTGGGCCTGGATTCTGGCCCCAGTTCTGCTGTGGTGTTAGAGGGTGCAACTCCACATGTTACTAGCAGCTGTGAGGGCAACACCAACTGGAGGAAACTTGGCATCAGGGCATGACAGGCTGGGCACTACTTCTCTGTACCACCTAGAAATCATTACTCATAGGTAAGGAATGTGGCAGCTTGCCCTCTGAGGAAACGTACCACCCAAACATTTTCATGCAGATCATTCAATATATTGCATGGGATTTGCTGAGTATGTCTAAGAAAAACATCTACATTTTCCTGGAAGGTATTACAATTCTCACATTTGAAATGTAATCATTTGAGAAACTTGAGGGACTCTGATGATGTGTTAAAAGACAGGTTACAGCATCCAGGGCACACGCAGTAGTAAAAAGCCCAACCTGGACCCTGAGACAGGTTCACGTGAAGGCTTCGGTACTGCTGAAACATCACAAAGAGCTGCACTGGATTCAGAACAGATGTGGGCCATGATGTCAGAAGCAGCAAGGCAGTTTCTTCAGGGACAGACTTCAGTGAGTGTTAATTTCAGCCTGCCAGTAAGTAGTGTTGATAGGTCACAAAAATAAATAAATAAAAGTTTGGT